ATAAGGGATAGGAATGGTATTAGAAGAATGGGCTGAATAGGAAAATGACACTGAGAAAGGTGAACATGCCTCAGTACTTATTGGTAGGTGTTTTAATATCTCATGGAGCAGTCACTGCAAACAATATGGATGAATGATCCCTGTGGGAGGGAGAAGTAGGCAACAACTTGGATGGGATAGTAGAAGCATGGTGAAAAAAATGAGTCAAAATTAACAAGACCCTAGCAAGAACACTAGCACCTGCAAATAATTGTCCTTACCCGTGCATCATGAGAGTACTGCTGTGAATTTACACTACATTATGCTGTGGTGCCCTGGGAGCAGAGAGAAGGGTTTGGTGGTGTGAATTTCAGACTGTGGAAGGCAGTTTGTGATGTTTAGTAGCTTTAAGCCATCCTAAATCAGACTGACTTATATCTTCAACCCACATTGATTTTAAGAACACTGATTTTCATTGCCTTGCTGTGTTTAAACTAGTAGACTTGAAAACTTTTTTTTCTGTGAAGTTTCTTTATCCTGGCATTTTTGTAGCATTCCGTGTGCTAGCATGTTAGTAAGGTCAGCAGGACTTCTTTACAGGGTTCCCTGCCCTGTTCATACGTTATGTGTCAACACTGAAGTATTATTTTAAAAATCATGCTTAGCTCCCTTGTTTCTTTAGAAATGTCTTTTTAACAACCTCTGCTCAATGCATCTATCTCTAAAAGGCTCAAGGCAAGACTGTGGTATAAAATCAATAGAAAATTGTCTTAATACATTATTCTTCATATTATGTCCAAATTCAAATGCCACTTGTAGAAACTACAGGAAGAATACTGAGTAAGTGTATTTCTTCTCTTCTGCTTGCTGCTGAAATTATTCACTGACCTTTGTATGCAGTATTTGCTTTCTTGAGAAAACAGATTGTTGACATTCCTGGTGTGTCTCTGCATCTAGCAAAACAATATATTGACAACCATGTTATATTTTTGTGGCTTGAACAGTACTGAAACTATTAGCTGCTTTTATGGAATAAGTCTTGATGGAGGTGCACAGACTTTGTAGGCTTCTGCAGAAATGATTTGACTTTTGTACAAATTGAGCTTCAAATATTTTTTTTTCCTTCAGTGTGTAACAATAGAATTAAAGTGCTATCTTGACTTACCAATTTGAAATCGTCTTCCCCTTAGATTTCAGCAGGGTTTGCATTTGTATAATAATGTAATGCTTTATGAATACAGTAGTTTAGGCGTGTTCATTTTGGTGGTAGGCTTCAGAGCAGTTTATCTTTTCCCTTTCACAAATGTGTAAAGATACAAAACAAATTAAAACCATATGCACAAACACATATACATATATGCATACAGTCTCTCACACTATTTGTATGTTCGCTAGAGCTGGTAGTGCCAACTTAAGCTTTTTTAGTAGGAGATACCTAGAAATGTTCTTATTTGACTGTACAGAACTCTGCAAGACTTGAATCATTCAAGATGACATTTTCCATTCAAGTATCAGTTTCGTACAGAATGTGTTTTACGATGAAAATAAGAGCTTGTTCTTTCAAAGAACAAGGTTAAGAGAAAATAGAGTGCTCTGTCCAAATTTTAAAAATTGTTTTGGAGAAGCTTTAGTGCATATTCTCAGCTTTTGGGGGTGCAGGGTGGGGAAAGAAAGGAAACGGGACCAGAAGGTTTTTTTGTGTAACCGAAATGCTTTTGCTGATTCTGTGGGGAATTGCCCATTTCTGACTAAGTTTTAAACCTTTGGGAAAACGTTTGCATGGGATTGACAGAGACTTGTTAGAGGTTTACCAGTTAAATTCTTCTAGGGTTACACCTGTTCTGCGAGTATGAGCTCTGTAGAGTTGTACCTTAAAAGAGAGTTTTTTCTCTGTTGCTGTACTCAGAGGTTGTTATGAGGCCAGGTGCAGTGAGCCTCAGGTTCTTGGATAGTGTAAACTGGAACTGGCAGCTGGCAGGTAGAGAGAGAGAGGGGCAAGAGGGTGGGATGGAGAGACTGGTTCTGCCTGACAGGGAAGACTAAGACCAGATGAGGAGTTTACCTGGATGCAACTGTAGGAAAACAGAGCCACAGGTTCTGTGGTGCCTGGAGTGAGTGCTTCTTGAGGCCTGGGGCGGGGATACCTGAGATTTGCCAGTCCTCTGCCAGCAAGTGTCCATGAAATACATTGGCAAAGTCTCAGCCACCCTAGCTGCAGATGTGCATAAAAGAATACATCCTTTCTCTTCTTACATCCCCTCCTTTTATTACGTGTTTGCCAGCTTCTGCATGAAATGAGTATCCTGGTTCTACAAATAACATTCTTGTATTCTACCCAACTTTGACTAATAGCAGAAGCCCAGCCTATGCCAAGGATCCATCAGGGTGGGAGAGAGCAAGAGGATTCCTGTGAAATAATTGAATTTATGATGTTGTAACTCAAGACTTTATTGCAATGCCTATCCATGAGAGGATCCTGTTGTGATTGTTCAGACAATCTTAACTGTGCCATTTCTTATAGTGTGAGTGCTTGTCTTTGCAATACTAACAGTCTTTTTAATTCAGCTTCTGTGTGGTCTCTCTGCAGATAAACATGTGTGCATACATATGCTGTGGCGTATGTACATGTACACATAAATATATCTGCTTCTGTAACTGTGCTTAGATGAGAAGTTATGTTAAGACTGTGCCTAGGAATAAGACTATTCAAAGTTAAAAGATTAAAAATTTGTATTTTTGAGTGTTGCTTTAGTCCCTAGAGGGTTTACAAATGCAGAGTGCTAGAGCTAACTCTTAAGGTATGTTGAAATGCGTGCTTCAGACATGCGGCAATCTTAATAAAACCATAGCAGTAATTCCAATATTACTAGAATGTTCGTCTCTTCAGTTGTCCTTGCCCACACTACCCATCGCACTATTCAAAAAACAGTAGTAACTTTCAGGTCAAGTCAAGGGTGCTTAGGAAAGTGTAGAGCATACCAAATTTCTTTGTGAAAAAATTGTGCCCAGCACATGGTGAAGACTCTCATTATCTTTAGAGCAAAGGGAGCTGGAGGCAGTGAAGAGGAATATAGTGAAATAGAGGAAGTGATCATCAGGGATCAGCAACAGGGCTGTACAGGCGTGAGGGTGGAGTATGAAAGGGTTAGAAGGAGGGAAGCAAACCACCGAAGGGGTCAAAGGAAGAGTATCGTGCGCAGGAATATCTTCAAAGGGAACAGGCATGATGTCAAACAGACCAGAGGTGGAGGTGGGGTAGCTAAGAGGAGTTTCAGTAATCAAAGTGCTGCAAGCTGGCATTGTAATTCTGACTGCGGAAATGAAAAGTTCTTCCTCAGGAGTATTTGGGGGTGGGAAGACATGGAGTGTCAGGGTGTTTTTTTTAAGCAAGCAAGATCCTGAAGACAGTGTTTCAACTCTGAAAGGGTGGGAGTTTCAGGGAGGGTTCACTAGGTGGCTGTGACTCAAAAAAGGGAAAACCAGTTACACCTTCACCTGGTCTAGCTCAACAGTGCCTTTTTGCATCAGTGGTTGCAGTCATTTACATAAATTCAGTAATTGAATCACCCATAATGCTGAAGTGAAGGGACTGTTGTAAAGCCCAAGAAAAATGGAGTATAGTGGAAGACATCCAGATCTGTTCAAATAAGAAGCTTACTCATTTTGTGAGAAATGAACTCCAAAGCCTCAACCATTCAGATAGTGGTTGGATTTTACAGGAGAGCTTTTATTGCCATCTACTGGGCTAAATAGGCAGTTTGCTATACTACAACATCCTTTCTAAGAACCATTTGGAAAATGTTTGCTTACTGAGAAAATATTTTGAAGAGATTGTTTCACAATATTCCTTAGGCAAGCTTATCTTTGGCATGATATCAGACGAGTCTGTTTGTAGTTACGTTGGCATGCCAGGCTTTATGAAAGGGGGTTCATTTAAACATCTGGAACCTGACGCACCCATAAATGCGCTCCAACACACGCTTCACTTTGCAGGAAATCAGCTCTAGGAACACACAGAGGGTTTTGTGTGTGTGCTGTGCAGTGGGTATGTGTGCATGCACTTTGAAAACTGGAGCCGTCAACATTTCTCTCTACTTTCAACTTCCAAACTACATAAAATTGAGCAGGACTCGAAGAAAAACTTTCTCTTAATTAATTCTTCAGAGTTTCTAATTACTCCAAAGCCCCAGAAAATCAGCAGGAGAGCTTGAAACTTGAAGGCTTGATTAAATTAAGTCTGAATCAAGTCATTGACAAGGTGAGATTAGCTTTTTTTATAAATACAGTTATGAAAATGAAAGGCCCAGTTCTGTGTCTTTCTCAAGCAAGACACCCATTGAATCCATAATCCCTTAATAAGATCTCTAGGATAAGTATCTAATCTCTCTAAACTCCCAAGCCTTTTGTTTATTTTTTCTGTCTATTCAGTATGAAATTCCTAAGAGCTAGATTTTCAGTTCTTTCCTGGAGGCATCCATGGTGGCTGAAAAGTCATTGCCAGGTTGCTGTATAACTCAGATCTGCAAAATATTTATCTTTCATCAGGTGAACTAGGTGTTTGTACAGCCTCTCCCAGACTCCTGCAGATTTGGGGAGCTCAAACTGTAGATGAGCAGTGACATTATTCAAATTATTTAAGCTCACTTCACTCATTTTGACTGAAAGAAATGGAAAGATGACTGTCGGAGTACACAGGTGTCTATGGCCTTGCATGCACAAGTATGCACAAAGCTCCTCACCCAATGATTAAATGTGAAGAAATAGCTGGAAAAGATGTAGCAGCAACAAGTCTTTTTTTTAATGAGATTTGCTGATTTGGAGTTTTAAACTGTGTGTCATATACTGAAGATGATAGAATTGTGGTAGTTTTATTTTTCTTTTCCCTGCAGCTGTCATTCGTTCCTGAGACTACCATAGCCTGCTCATCCTCCTAGTGGACATTGTTTGTAGATCTTAACCAAAGCCTTCGTACTTATTGTCACTCACGGTCCCTGTTTTTTGTCTTTGTTCTTCTTTCACAGCTACAAGCCCCCAGTGTGAAAGGCTTTGATTTTGCTAAGCAGCATCTAGGCCAGCACAATAAAGATGATGTCCTGATTATCCACGAGCCAGCTCCTTTACCAGGACCTATTAAGGATACCACCCCATCTGAAAATGGAGATGTGCCCAGCCCCAAATCCAAAACTTCCTCAAAGCCTTCAAAGACTGTTCGACACAGAGGGAGGTCAGTTCACAGAGATAAAACGAATTGTAGTAGATGACAGTTTATTAATGGCTGGTGATTACTGTATTTTTAGGGCAATTTCAGTGGAAAGAACTGTTCCAGAGCTCTGGGGCTTGTGTTTTCTAGTGGGCTGTCATTTATGCCTCACTACTCATTAGTACAAGGTTGTGAGAATGTAGTGTCCGTTTTCCTCTTAAAGGCAGCACGCTCCAGTTAAGAGGGGTATTTAAAACAGTACTAGGTTGACTGGAGTCAAGTCATTACTTGTTTAGTGGAAACACCAGGTGTATGTTTCCTGATACATTCTCTGTGTAGTGATCTCTTAACTATTAAGGCAATGGGTAGTTAAAAACAAATGAAAGCCATTGATGAATAGCAGTGTGTTTTCAGTAATATTAATAGTGGTCAATACATGTATGATACGTTGGAATTTCCAGAAACAAGCAGTATCTCCAAAATTCAGGGAAGTTGCATGAGTGTTTTTATTTGTGGTTATCTGGTTGCTCTCATAGTAAACCAGCTTTGGTCAGGAAGAGGAGTGATAATTTACAGCTGTGCAAGTGGGAAAGTGTCTGTCAACCTTTAGCAGTAATTTCCCAACCTTTTCCAATAATCAAATTGTATGAATGTGTTTTGCAGGAGAGGGTTGTGTTTGTAGGATAGGTGCTGTAACAGAGCTATGCAGTAAAGAAGGATCTGTGCATTAAAAAAAAATTTTAAAAAGGAGGTATTAGGTGGGGAAAAAATGGAGCCCTGAGGAAAGGAGTGCTATGATGAGTCACAAACAGCTCCTGACTGCAGAGCTTCTCTGTGCTCCATGTTCCAGTAATTCTTCTTCTCCCTTCCTCTCATATTTTTATACTCCTTTGTTTCTAGCTCTGCATTCCCTGTGCTTTTACCTATGTGCTATTGCACAGTGAGAGGAAAAAAAAAAGCAACCAAGGGCAAAGTTGAATGAGCTTAGAAAGAAACTAACAGTGGTTCTGACTGAGCTGCAGGTCTCTGTGACACAGTTTGCTCCTCTGCTCAACCTTCTGTGCTTCCTCGAAAGCCCCAGTTGTCCCAAGATCCTTGCTTCACCTTCCCCACGTGGGCTTTGTACAGCTCAGTTTCCACCTTCCCACCTTCCCAGATGCTGAGCCTGTCTTCCTAACTCACTGTAGGCCTTGCAAGTACTAGACTACCAGTGGTACTGTTGAAGGTGGGCAAAATTGGAAAATTATGCAAGAAAAATTAGCGAACTTGTTTTGGTGTACCTTAAAACAAATTCATATAAATCAGAAGGACAAGTGTTTCTGTGTTTCTTTTTAAAAGTTCAAAGGTGCCCGAAGTTGGAGATGATACTTAGGGGGAGGTGAAGGTATCTATTCACATGCACATAAGTATAAAGGAAATTTAAACTTGAGGCTGTTACTGAATTTTATCTAGAACAAATCAGAAAATGAAGCAGGAAAAATTTTCGGAAGCCAACATTTTAATGCTTCCCCTGAAGACAACAATGAATCATTGATCAAATTTGGAACAAAGTTATTTCTTAATATTATCTAAATTCAAACACTTCAAAATGTTTTCAAAACAGAATTTCCTTCCTCTCCCTCATCCTCCCTTAAGAGCACATCTCCCTTTAGGCTTAACTATGGAGATGTTACCATCATCTCCCTAACGTGCTGATACGCCCATGTCAGCTTGAGATTTAAAACATTTATTCCCGAAGGCAGAAGTTGAAACGTGAAATGATAGCTTAGTGTGTTATGTTGGTTTTAGCTGTTTTCTGTTTTGTGAGGAAAGACAGAACTCAGTTCATCACAGTGCAATTCAGGACTGTATGTTGCCTGCCAGGAAACACAGTGGTGATATGCGTACATGTTCTGTATCTGTAAAAACAACAAACAAGAAAAGCAACTGAGTTCAGAAAGCACAGCATCTCTGGGCTCCAGCTGAGAGTTGGACCTGTTGTTTTGGCTTGAGAGGATACAGTGGCATATTCCTCAGCACTTATAAAGAATGACTGATGTTGAGTCAGCGCTATTTATGTTCCTATCTATTATGACAATTTAGATATGTTTTTATGTATTGTGGTAGACTGAGGAAAGAGTATGAAGGAATACAAAGCACAGTGAGGTGAAACAGAAAGTCAGTAGCAGGTCTGGAAACTGAACTCTAGCCTTATAATC